GCTGGATTTGAGCTCTTTATTTGCAGTGAAACAGCTGGATTTGAGCTGTTGCAAAATAACAAAGATCTGATCAAGCAGAATCTGAATTCAATCTGAATTCATTGTCAGAATCGGGTTCAAATCTCCATAAATTAACTGATTATGTTCCTGATGTGCAGAGATGACCAAACTAAATAAATTGAAAACCTTCAGTTATTCCTCAGATTTGGAGGAAAGCAGCACCTCCTCATGAGAGCTGCTGAAGATAAATGTAGCTGTTTTAAATCAGAGTAGCTGCAGAATGTGACATTAACTCAGTAAATGTTGATGTTTCTGCAGGTGCAGCACTCCAGACATCCTGAAGAAGAACCCAGCAGGAGAACCAGAATCTGAGAGACATGGTGCAGCTCCACATCAGGACCAGGAGCAGGTAGGAAGCTCCCATCAGCTGAAGCTCCTGAAACACGGAGCTCAGAAACTGAAGCGTGGCTCTTATCGAAGATTCTGGTGTTGGAGAGAAACTCGATGCTTGTCTGGACCCTGAAACACGTCGGACGAGCGTTTAGATCCCATCTAACGTGTTTCTTTGAGTTAACGATAAACTCAGGTGCTGGTTTGTCTTTGGGTTTTAACCAAGTAGAGTTTTCCATCCAATAATAATCTGATCTGTCCCTTCAATGAGTTTTTATTCAGGTCGGTTTTCATTGTTTGATTTTAGTATCCGCCTGATGGCCCGACTCTCTCTGCTGCCTCCCTCTCCTCCTCCTCCTCCCCAGAAGAGGCTCCGACCCCGGGGAGGCCCGGGGTGAGCACCGCCCAGCGCCGGGCCCTGGCCCTCAGACTGGGAGCACTGGTGAAGGAGCTGCAGAAAACTCTGCAGAGGGAGAGCTGCTGTGAGAAGGAGCTGAAATCTTTGGAGCATCAGATTGTTCACCTGGAGACCATCCTGAAGGTAGAGGGGTGTGTGTGTGTGGGGGGGGGGGGGGGGGGGCCTGTTTGGAGTCGCACAGTGATGATGTCACAGCTTAGCTCGTTAGTCTGTCTGTCCTTTTAACAACAGCCCAATTTAAATGTTTAAACATTCCAATACAGAAATTAATAGAGCACTCAGGAGAGAGCGTGCATGTCTGAGGTGTTTTGTTGATCAGTGTGGACAGAAAAGGTCTCTGAGATAAAGTGACCCCAGTGAAACATTTTGAGCACGTCCAGTCCAGGTGGGAAAACCTTGTAGTGGCTGCAGACATGACGTTCTTCAGTCTGAGCCAGTTCGATCCGAACGCCTCGTGTCTGTCGGAGAGCAGGTCTGACATGTTGACCCTCTGAAACGTCCTCTGTGCTCCTCCAGAACCACCTGTCCCTGCTCAAAACTTCCTCTTCAGAGGAGACTCTGGCCCTGGAGGAAGTCCTGGGCAGCTTTGACTTCCTGTCACATGACCTGAACACAGAAGAGGACACTTCCTGTTTGGACAGCCTGAGGCTAAAAGACAGCGGGTGAGTTCTCAGACAGAAGACATCTGATCAGCTTCAGCTGCTTCTGAAACATCTGGTTTCTTTGCTTTGATCTTTCAGCATGAGCTCGTTCCAGCAGAGCACCATGAGGAGTCTCGGCCTTCTCTCTAAAGACAGCCAAGCAGCTTCTGAGGAGGAGCTGGCCATCGCCCCGTTGACTTCGGGGAACTGGAGTATGGACCAGGCTCTGGAGACGCACATGGACATCTGCTGCATCCTGCTGCAGGTACAGGACTGAAGGACTGATCTAATCTCTGCTGTGTTTGGTTCATGCTTTGTCAGTTTCCCTGGTCACATCTGGACAAACTCAAGCTGCCAGATGTTTCACATCACTGTTTCTAAACATGTTCCTTCAGATGATGAAAACGATCGACTTCAGCCCATCTCGGAGGGAGCTGCTGGAGGAGATGTCCAACCAGGCTGACGTCCTGGACCGAGTCAACTGTCTGCTGCTGGAGAAGAACGACACCATCACAGCTGGAGACGGTCAGTGCAGAACACGCTCAGCTAGAACCTGAGAGGAACATCTGTCTGGTTTTGTAGCTGATTGAAGAGAAATGCCCCCTCTTCCACTTGCAGTCCTCCCTAAAGCCCAGAGATCCAGAGATGTTCTGCTCTTCTGGGAGGAGTGCGTGAGCGACAGCAGCTCTCCTTTCTGCTGTCACGTCGACGGCTTTTCCAGAACGCTGAGGAAACGCTTGACTCACAAGGTGAAGGCCAAGCAGCCCGGCCAGTCGGAGAAAGGTACTGCAGCACCTGAAAAGTCCACAGAAACCACAGAGTCCAACTCTAAAACCAGTTGAAAATCTTTCATCTGCTTTTCTTAGTCCAGTCTAGTGTTTCTGACTCGGGTTAGTTTCTGACCTGAGCCCCGTCGTCTCTCCTCTTCCTCAGTGTTTTCTCGCCTCCTGCAGCAGCTGCAGGCAGCCTGTCGGTTGGTGCCGGGCTGTCGGCCCGTCTGCAGCCCAGAGAGAGTCACCCTCTTCCAGCTCTCAGTTTATCTGAAGCGCTGGAGCTTCCAGGATCTGGGAGAGCACGTCTCCCGCCTCTCCAGAGAAGGTCTCACCTTTTTATTTCAAACACCTGAACACAGTCGAGAAAATGTTTCCCAACGTGGAGCGACCTGACACTTTCAGTGAAACAGCTGATTGAACAGCTGTTTTACACTCGAACTGTGAGAACTGTAGGATTTAAACCTTTGGCTCGCTCACTTCTGATTTGGTTGGCTCTAAACGTGTGTTTGTCATGACGAGGGCACGCAGAAGTGACCGGCGTTGGTTAGAAGCTGTTAAGGAGCTCATTTGACCTCAGAGCTCCACTGAAGCAGGAACGAACCTCTTCAGGTGATTCATTTGTTGTTTTTGGCTGCGTTTCAGAGTACGTCCTGTCTGCACTAACCAGCCCCAAAAGGAGGCGGGCTTTAAACAAACTGAGGGGGCGGGGCATCTCTGAGCTCCTCCCACTTGGATCCACCCTGCAGACTCTGGCCGCCCTGCTGATCGACTCCAACCACAAAGTCTGCAAAGCTACAAGCAACTTCCTCTGCAGAGCTGCAGGATGCAAGGCCTTCAGGAACAAGGTCGACAAAATAAAAGCCTCCGAACACGACGCACACAAACCGTCCATGTTTACGCTGCTTGACTTTGTAAATAAATAAAGTATTTTTGTTCCTACTTTAAGTACCAAATTCTTCATCAAACCCTGGAACTAAAAGTTTAAAACTCATAAAATATTTGACACAGTTTCAGGTAAAATCAGTGATTTTGACCGACTGAACTGACTCCTTTAATTTCTCTCAAGTCATCCGAGGAGGAACAAAGAAATAAAAACCCTCCTGCTGCACCTGGGTCGAAACTGGTTTGACCCAAGGGCAGCAGGAGGGTTTAATTCCTCGCAGCCTCAGCTAACCCCCCGTTGAGTCCAGTTTCATGCAGCTTTGTCTTTCAGTCTAAATCGGAAGGCAGAACTGATTCCGGTCGTCTTCGTGCTCGTTCCTCCTGCAGGCCGTGGTTTTCTACACGGAGAGTCTGAAGAGCTCCCAGGTCCAGGTCCAGCAGGGCTCCTGTTTGGCTCTGAAGTGTCTCAGGGTGAGGACGCACTCAGACGGACTCGGACTGAAGCGTTTTCATGGGCGTGGAGCGTTTTCTCCAGTGTTTGTGTTTGTTTGCCAGGCGGCGGAGAGCGTGGACCACATCGCAGATCTGTGGAGGTCGGAGGATGAAGATCTACGAAGTGCAGCCAGAGAAACCGTCCTCTCCTTTGGTACAAACATGAAGCTGCAGAAACCCAACAGCTTGTTGGTTTCACGTCCATGCCGAGTCCTGTTTTTATGTTTCCGTGGGATTTTTTTTAAATCCAACTACTTCAGCAGACTTTGATCTATTTTAGCTGTTTGTGTATCAAAACATTCGGCTCATTCAGGAGGTGGCTGCTGTGACTTTTAGCTTTTGTAACTTTTCAAAATGTTTAACGTTATTTTCAAACACTTTCCCCATTGACAGTTCGGTTCCTCTAAAAAACATTTGAAATGTGCTTCAGCTGCCGGCTCCATTTTTGTTTCGTTTGCTACTTTTAGCTTCTAGCCAGCTTTTGCCTTTTTTTTTTTTTTAGCTTCTAGCTAACCTTTTCTGTTTATTTTTGGTTAGGCTTTGGATACATTTAGTATTTAGCTAACCTTTAATGGTTTAAGCTACAGTTTTGATTATTTTAGCTTTTTATTTATTAAACTGGAGCAAATGAATTACATTTAGTCTAGTCCAAAGTTGTTTAGAGCTATTTTTGTTTAAATGTTTTTTGTTTTATGCGGTTTATTTATTGTTTTTTTTTTTTTTTAAATTATTATTCGTGCAGGTAAAAAGGGGCACGGGGCCTTCCAGAGGATGGATCAGCTGTCGGCTGAGATGGAGGAGGAAGCCTACAAGAACCAAGAGACACAAATCACCATTTTTTAAGGAACCACAGCTGGAAACGTGAGCCGACCTGAAGAGTCTGAACCAGGTTTACGTCTGACCGAGACGAAGCCTGCAGGGAGCAGCCACCTCCTTCCAATAAAAACTTGATTTTCTTTGACTAAAAGCCAAACGGAGAAGGAAGATCTACTGATTTCAGCTCTTCTTGACTGAGAACTTGAACTGATTTGATCAAACTCTGTTTCGTTTCAAAGATTCTCTGCTGCTGAAGCTTTGATTGAACCTGAAAAGACTTTTGAGCATCTTTAAAATATTTCTACCGGACTGTGATTTAAAGAAAAACCTGCCTTGGTTGAGAAATGAGCAGATTTATTTTCAGTTCATGTAAAGTCTTCACTTTGATTTTCACTCGTTCTGTGTCTGGACACAATTCTTTCCTGCATTTGAAGCCCAGAAGGACTGAATAAATCCAGAACCGCCTCAAAGTGTCTTCTGTGATGGAAACTTCAGACATGTCCACTTTAAACTGGAAGAGTTTCTTAAATATTTCTAAAAGTTTTTACCATTAGAAATGACCAAAAAGGACATTTTCAAACTGTCAGGAAATGTTAAAGCTATATATTTGACTGTGATAATTAAACTGACGGTAGTGTCAAAATGTTTTTTAATACACAAAATCAAAAGGTTAAATAATTTTGTACCAGTTTTTAAAACTGTTCCTTCGTGGTGAAATGAATGAGCTACAGTTTATATACTCCTGCTGCCCTTGGGTCAGAAAGACCCACAAGGTTTCAGCGTTAAAAGGTTTCGTTTGCTCACCAGTGGCGTCCACCAGCAGGTGCTCCTGTTCCTGCCATCATGAAGTCCTGACTCCATCTTTGATGGAGGCTCTGAAAATGCACTAGAGACTCGTGTTGCAGATGTAAACGTTGGTAAAAGGTGGTGAGAGGGAATCTACACAGGTGAGTTTGTGACAAAGGGCAACACTTCTGACCGAACAAACCCATCAAGGACAAAGTGAAACTACAGGAAGGAGAACTGGATACCAGAAGACTGGTGCAGTTTTCTGTGATGGATTCTCTTTCCAATTGTCCGAGACACCATGAAATGTTTTGTTCCTTCTTCTTTCATCTGTTCCTTCGTCCGGGTTCTCCACAGTTCTGCATCTCATTCTGTCCTCACTCCAACTACCTCCGTGTCCTCTAGCTGCATCCATTCATAGGATGCAGGATCCTCTCTGTCCAAAAAAGTTAAGTCAGGTCCTCCGGACGAGTTCAAAGAACAAAAAAAATTGTAGAAACGTTTCGTCTTTAAGACGAAAGACTGAAAGACTTCTTCACTCCGAGGAGCTGTGTTCAGAAACGGCACCTTCTCAGAGTGGGTCAACCAGTTTGTTGTTGACATCCAGAACTAGCTGTTCATCTGATCAAGGATGTCCATGGATCATTAGCACCTGATGGCTGTTTACTGTTCACAGAGGGCTGAGTGATACTAGCAATCACAGCATTGTAAGAGGGGGACAGTTGAACCCGGAGGCTCCACCCCTGTTTAATGATGGACGATTTCTTTTCACAAAGATGGCCTCCTTTACTCCTCTCTCAAACCATCGTTCCTCTCTGTCCAGGATGTGAACATCTTCATCCCTGAAAGAGTGACCGCTGGCCTGGAGATGAGTGTAGACCGCAGAGTCCTGGCCTGATGATGTTGATCTTCTGTGCTGGTCCATCCTTTTGGCCAGTAGCTGTTTAGTTTCCCCGATGTAAGACTGATCACCCTCCTGACACTGAACAGCATACACAACATTACTCTGTTTGTGCCGGGGGACTGGATCTTTGGGATGAACCAGTCTTTAATGTATTTTGGGGTTTAAAAGCCACTGGGACGTTGTGTTTAGAAAATAAACGTCTCAGTTTCACTGAAACTCCTGCAACATATTTGCGTTCTGTTTTGAGTTCTGAGGGTTTTAACTCAGGAAATCACAGCTGGGTTGTTGAAGTTGGAGACCGTGAAGACTGGAGCCTTGCAGAGTCAGCCCAGAAGAAGAGAGACGTATGGTCTGGATTATGGAGATGGTGGTTCTATGAAGGTACAGAGCAAATTCACCAGCAGGTCCTATCAAAGTTCTCCCAGTTCATAAAAAGCTCCAGAGGATCAGAGTGAATCTGGACTGGAACAGAGGGAAGCTGTCGTTCTCTGATCCTGACACAAACACACACATACACACCTTCACACACACCTTCACTGACAAGATGTTTCCGTACATTCACGCTGCAGATGAACTAAAAATATGACCAGAGAAGATCTCGGTGGTCCAGCAGCAGCTCTGATGTTCCTCCTGCTGAAAACAAAGTTCAGCCTTTTTGATCAGTTTGAACCTCTGTGACCTGAAACAGGATGAAAAAAAAAAGCCTTTTTGCAAAAATACCCTGAAGCTCTCGACCTTGACCTCTGAGTAACTTTAAGAATCTGTTGGACTCCTGCAAGAACCAATGCAGACATGTTCCCGTTCTTAGTTTTCTAAATCGCCTTATAATCCAGCTGTTTTTTGCTACTATTCCTCTTGATTGTCCTTTTGGTTGTTGTTTTGATTTGATTTGTAAACAACAAAAATTTAAATTTGTATACTTATTTTATGATTGTCTATTGTTGTTGGCACTCTTGGATAAATCAGGTCTCTCTTGTAAATGAGTCCTCGAGGCTCAATGGGATTTACCTGTAGAAATAAAGGTTGAATGAAACAGGAAGTTGGAGAAGTATTGATCTGATTGATTGATCAGTGTCACATGTGCTTAATAATCTGTACAGATGACCTGAAGTCCATGATGTGAAGTTTTGGTTCTGACAGCAGGTGACAGTAAATCCAGGTGTGCTGATCATGAACAGGTAACAGGTGAGGTTAGTGGAAGGTGGAGCTCTGCTGATGGAAACAAACTGAGATCCAGACTGATGAGGAACTCTGCAGAGTCACATGATCAAACATCTATGATCGAATCAGACTCGATGTTTTCATTTGATTATTTTAATGATTCATGGGATGTTTGTTCAATGTTGTGCTGCGTAAACAAAACTGACCTGAGACAAATAAAAGTTCAGATTGAACCAAAAACCTTCAGTTTGAACACCTGAATCATTGATCTCCTCAGTTTAAAGATTCTTTAGAACAAAACCCATCACCAACGGTTGAGCACGGTGGTGGAAGGCTGATGGTTTGGGCTTGTTTTGCAGCTACAGAACCTGGAGTACATTTTGGTAGAAAAAAAAATGTATTAAGGACTGGATTAAACTACTAAACATTAAAGTACAAACATGAACCAGTTTTAATAAAACTGCCACCCAGGTCAGCTTCATTTCCAAAATCAGTTCCCATTTAAGAGAAAATTGATTCCAGTTCACCACGTAGAGAAGAAAGACTTTATTTAAATTAAAACCAGAGTGAACATGTTCTCAGACGTTCCTCACACTTCCCAGTGACGTGTGACAGCTGAACACCTGAAACTACAGGTAGCACTTCCTCAAACCGCTCGCCGGGTTTCTTACAGATGAAAAACGTCAACTCCTGAAGCGTCACCACGTTCGTACGCTCTTCAGCAGAATCAGAACGATAAAATGATTGCACACATTCAGCATTTAGTTTCAGTTCAGAACATTTAGGAAAACAGAAACTTCAAACCATGCACGAGAAGAAGACTAAAGAGTTTGTCCCAGCTGTGGTGGGTTTCAGTCGGGGTGGCTGTCGGTGTGCTCTCTTTGTGTGTGATGAGGAACAGACATCCTATGTTTGTTGTTTACCAGTGCAGGTTCTTCTTAAAGAGCTTGGGCAGCCTGAGGAACAAAACATTTGCTATTTTAAAAAGAACTACAGGAACACTGAAACTCCTTACTGAATGTTGTCTGAAAGAAACAAATCCTCTCAGCGTCAGGTTCACGCTTCCCTTTGCATTTCTTGTTTGGATGCTAGTTTTTTTTCCTGACACAAAGTAGAAATGAACATTTCCCCTCCTTTACATCTCTCCAGCCTCCTCGGATGGATCGTCCTTGGCTGAGCGTCATCCATCCCCCCACCCTGAACAGCATGGCAGTATCATTCTACAGTAAATCTCCCTTCTCCTCAGCAGACCTCGTCGCCCCCTCTTAGGTCCCGATGATGTCGGGGTCGTGGGCGGCATCCGGCAGCACGGTGTCCTGGCAGTGGTAGAGGAAGCAGTTGCCCCAGCAGCTGTAGCAGATGAGGAAGAGCGCAGCCAGGAAAACCAAGGCACAGATGGTGCAGGGTTTCCTCTCCAGCAGGAAGCTGAGCAGGTAGAAGCCCATGAACATGGAGTGGTTGAACCACAGGGCCGGGTTCAGCGGCTTGGGGATGAGCAGCACGGGGAGCAGCCACTGCAGGCAATACATCGTCACGTTTGGAGGAGTCGATCGGGACTTAATGGGTTGTACAATCCTGGGTTAAATGTTGTCTTTAACGGAAGAAACAATCGATCCAAAGCAGATGGTTCAGGTGGTGAGAGAGCGGTCCTATCCGACAGAGCTAGAATGATGCAGGTCAAAGCAGTCTGAGTTTATCGTCGTCGGGTCATCCCTGGAAAAATAGGAGAAAATGGCAAACTCCAAATAAATACTTACGGGTAGTAAAAATGTAATCAAATCTACAGAAATGTGTCTCTAAAACATCAAACTGTTTTAAAATGCTAAAGCTAATGTTAGCTTCTGGTGCTTTCAGTTTCATTTTTGACTTATTCAACCTTTACTTATACAGATTAGTCTCAGTGAGTCACGAGGACTCATTTACAGGAGAACTGTTACAAACTCAGTAAAACTCATAACTATAAACTATAGTCAGCTATCAACTATAAACTCACACTCAGTCATAAATAATGACAGCAGTTTGCATGAATCTAGAAAACACTAATAAAAATATGACATAACATCTCAATTTTTATGATCTTAAAAGTACAGGTTTGAATTCAAATTGTACAGGATAATATTTTTAAAAAGGTAACCCGTGTCAGAATTCTGCCATCTCACTTCATTTATAAAGCACTAAAAACAGCAACAAGTTCAGCCATTGGGCTGTAGAGCAAAAACAACACAAGCAAATGACACAGGATAAAATACAAGTAGGTAAAGATAAGAACTCAATGACTAACTTTATAGAATAATGAAGGTGGCTATTAGAGACAAGTTAAAATCAACTCACAGCGTCAAAAACCAGGAAAAAAGTGTGTTTTTAAATGAGATTTAAAAACAGTAAGCGATGGCGCCTACGTTCTGTCGATGTTGCATCTTAAAATGTCTCAATTTAGATTCCTGAACTCAGTGCTTCAAATAATAAATGAACGCTTGTGTTTGTTATGACAATCTCTCTAAAGAGCAACCGAATCTGAAGCTTCATGGAACATCCAGGTTTATGATAAAGCTTTTAAAATTCGCATTTAGTACTTGGAACAAGTAGGAGCTCAAAATGGATTTCAAAGTTCTGACCCGAGTGAACATCTGGGCCTGTTCTGCTGAGACACTTGAGACACCGAGTTAAATCTGCAGCTGGCTGGGTTTGGTCTGTTTAAACAGTTGGCAGTCTATTTCTGGTAGAAGCACTTGAAATACACCCTGAAGCTGGTTGCTTCAGCCCACACCAGCTTTAACGAGCAGCCATCTTTAGGGGTTAAACCTTAGTTGGACAAATTAAAACTATTTATTTGGTTTCAACACGCCTCTGGATAAGGTGGGTTGACCATTATCCCCAAAGCTAACTTATTTCAGGTGGCTAAGCAGATAAATATGACGCCATTTAAAACTGAAGCACTTGTAAATCGAGCCATAACCTTTAGACGAACTTATTTTACAACAATGCTTCTATTTCTGGTTAAAAACAAACTGCGTTCAAAATCACACGGCTCGAATCAGAATCCATAGCAGTGAACATTAACGTCTAAAACCTCAATATTTTACACTTTTAACCGACATACGACCCTGTGTGTTCGAGCCTTAAACATTTCAGTCCATGCAGTAACGAGGATGTTTAGCTAAAGGAATGTCTTGATGTTGACATCGTCATCGTTCAGAAACATTAGCATTTAGTCGAAAGCTAACAAGCTTCATAAACAAAGAATTTCTGGAATACACAAACGGTTTAAACATGAAAAACAAAGTCTGTAAACTCCACATTTTCAAGTTGTGTACTATGGTAAATAATTGTGAACGAACCTGACATCTTTAGGGCTCATTCTAAGCAAATACTAACAACCAGAAAGAAATATGTCAGCTACAGTCTGAGAACTGAGCTAACTAGCATGCTAACCAGCTAACAACTGCACACAATAGGTGTCCGTGTTGCGCCTGATCATAATGAAGACGCTTGCTCACACGTTATAGGTGTCCGTACTCCACCTGAACATAATTCACTTCAGTTTATTTATTTAAAAAATGTTTGTAGGCTCAGTCAGATAGGTAGATAGCAAAAAAGGTTAAATCACGTCATCTGGACCAGTTTCTTTAAGGGAGAAACGTTTTGTCTTCTATCCAGAAGACTTCATCAGTCTGCGGCCTGCCAACCAGATGTTTTTTTTGCTACATTTTCTTTTAAATGCCATTTTATTGTTACTTGTTATTCTCAATTTGTATGCATCCTTTATGATTGTCTATTGTTGTCCACTGTTGTCATCACTCTGTTAAAATCAGGTCTCTATTGTAAATGAGTCCCCGAGGCTCAATTGGATTAATCTGTATAAGTAAAAGTTGAATGAATGAATGAATGAATATATAAATAAGTTTAAACTATTTCTCTGAGACGAAGACTACTTTGAATTTAACTTCATTGCAGAACTCTCTGAGCAAGCACGAAGGCAACAGTGGAAAGGAAAACTCCAGAGTCTTAACTGGAGTTAGTGGGAGAGATCATATCTCTCCAGTGGCTCCCTGTCAAATCCAGAATAGAATTCAAAATTCTACTGCTAACCTACAAAGCTTTCAACAACCTAGCTCCATCTTATATTACAGATCTTATTGTTCCATATTTTTCTAACGGGGCACTTTGCTCTCAGACTGCAGGTTTACTTGTGGTTCCTATAGTTTCCAAAAGCAGACTGGGAGGCAGATCTTTCAGTTCTCAGGCTCCTCTCTTGTGGAACCAACTTCCAGTTTCTGTCCGTGACATTGTCACATTGTCCAGTTTTAAGACTTTACTTTTTGATAAATGGCTTGGGTTTCCTGAGCTGTCCCTTAATTGTGCTGCTATAGACTGCTGGAGGCCGAACTGACCACATTTTTTCATTATGCTTTTCTTTACTTACCCTGCTCAACCTGATTTGTATTTGTAATTATTTTCTCTGTCCTAACGGTTTTTTTTTTGTTTTGTTTTGTCTTTCAGGTTCACCTGGACCTACATCTGGACCTGGACCTACATCTGGACCTGGACCTACATCTGGACCTGGACCTATACCTGGACCTACCATTCTGTGTTCGTCTGTCTCTCCTTCCTGTCCTCTCAAACCAGCAGATGGTCTCTTGTCCTGAGTCTGGTTCTGCTGGAGGTTTCTTCCTGTTAAAAGGAGTTTTTCTTCCCACTGTCTCCACTGTGCTTGCTCAGGATGGGAGACTGCAACGAAGCCAAGATTCAACTTGTCTGCTGGATTCCTTAGATAGAGAACTTTACTAATTGTCTTTTCTATGTATGTGAATGTTTCTGTAAAGTGCTCTGAGACAACTTTGTTGTGATTTGGCGCTTTATAAATAAACTGAATTGAAATTTCCACTCCTATCAGGAATTTCTTCCAAGTGACCAGACCATCTCAGTCTGTCCTCACTCCAACTACCTCCATGTCCTCTCTAACTGCATCCATATATCTCCTCTTTAGTCTTTCTTTTTGTCTTTTTCCTGACCGCTGCATTTCTATCCATGTCCAAACCACTGTCCTTCCTCTGGACATGTCCAAATCATCTCAGTGTGTCCTCTCTAACTTTATCTCCCAGTTGTTCAACCTGTGCTGGACATCTGAAGATCTCATCTTATCCATCTTTGTCACTCCTAAGGAGAACCTCAACATCTTCATTTGTCACATCCAGTTCTGTCTCCTGTCTTTGTGTCCATGTCTCTGTCTCCAGACCAGTCAACAGAGCTGGTCTCACCACTGTCTTGTAAACTTTTCCTTTGACCTTTGCTGACACCCTTTTTGTCTCAGTCACTCCTGAAACTTTTCTCCATCCTGCCTGGACTCTCTTCTTCTCCTCTTTACCACACTCCTCATTTTCCTGGACAGTGGACCCCAAGTCCTTGAAGTCCTACTTGCACTTATTCTACCATGTTCTTGTCTACTTTTTTTTCTTTTGGACCTTGTAAATATATTTACTTTTTCACTTTTTGGTACTTTATTTTTTGTACGCTTATTGCATGCTTTAGTATTTCTTGTTTGTTTGTTCTTTGTTTTTACTGAGTCATCTTGGTTCTTCTCATCCTGACCCGAACATTTCATTGCACGGTTGACCTGCGTATGAGAAATAAACATAACTTGAAGCTCCTGCACCTTTGTCACGTCTGCTGCGTCTCACTGTTCCACCCGTCTCCCTCTCATTCACAAACACTTTTTGCTTCGTTTACTTAATTAGCTCATGCTGTTCTTCAGAGATAAAGTTCACATTGAAAGACCTACAGAACGTGGTCATTTCTGAGGTATGTTAAACTTATTAAACTATGGTAACCATCTTTTGAGACACTTTCTGTGGCCTAAGACGCCTTTCGTTTTGATCTTTCAGCTGAAACAGTCGCCCCCTGCTGGCCAGTGGAGAGAAATTACAGTAATTTGCATATTGGCTTCACTTTTCAGACACAGTCCAGTCATGGATCAACACTTCGATTTTGTTATAATTAAAAGGGAATAACAAGAACCTAAAACTTTACCTTAAAATTCTGATTTTACTGACTCACACATGAGCGGAACATAACTGACTCAAAAACTACAACAGTCAAACTACCGCAGCCTTAAACTGCTCCCTAATGACTTCAGCTTTTTATTTCTGACACAAACAGAAGGTGCTGTGACGTGGAAATGATTTACAATCATTCAAACGTGGCTGATGTGTGCTTTATGAATTCTGAGATTAACAGTTAACAATTAAATGAAACACTTTGAGCTCAAATAGATTTTTTTTTGTTTGTCCAACCTACAATTTCTCTTTAAGTTCATGCTTGGAGCTCTGGTGTTGTGCAAGTTGCACAGCCTTGTGATTTAGCCAGCAACCATTCCTTATGAGGCTAACAGCGCACAAGAAGAACTTCAGGTTCAAGAGCGTACAGTAAACGTCCTCAGCAGTTACAACAAATAAAGCAAAATAGACATATTTCAGTTTCTGTACATTAAACAGTTAAACACGATGCAGCAGCTTAACAAAAGTCTCTTCTTGGAATCAATAAAGTGCCAAAACTTTTCTTTCACAGTTGGACTTGTTGGAGGAGCAGCTGAGGAGCCGCTGCTGTCATCAGACGTGCAGGACGTCAGGCTGCCAGTCTGCTGGTATACGTGACACTTGGACTGCAGTGGGCCTTAGTTAAAAAACTACTGCAAGTGTAACATTCACAACATAACATAAACTCTATTTTCACCAGATTTGAGTCTTTTGTCAGAGATGTTGTGACCCGGCGTGGCAACAAGTCGTCTTTACATTCAGACTGCAGGTGGAAGAAGACGCTTCATGCTGTCTCTAATGTTTAAATCATCTCGTTCAGCCCCAACAAATTAAAAGCTACGAGCATAAGGCACACTAAACAGAGGAGATTCAATGCTTCTAACATCCAGGACAAGTTTTAATAAAAAAAAAAAAACTAAATTATTGTCTTTAATGAAGAATCCCAGTTCCAACAATGTTGAGTAAAGTAAAATTCAACAACATGCAATGATTAAAAATCTCATTAACACACATTTATTCATAACAGAACATTGTAAACACATTAAAAGTTCAAAGTAAGAAATTGTACAAGCCTATTAGAAAAACAGTGTATTTTTGAGTTTGATGGCAGCAACACGTCTCTCCAAAGTTGTTCCAGAGGCAACAATTAAGAAGAACATTTAGTATTTAATTTAGTTAATTATCAACAGGCCAGTAAGAGGACCGGGTATAAAAAGAGACTTTTAGAGAAGCTGAATCTGTAAGAATTAAAGATGGGCCGAGGTTCAGCCTAAAACTAGGTTCTGTCTGAAACTAGAGGAACCATTTCAGAATAAAGTTCCTGAATGAAGACCCTCCATCATCTTCAGTTCATAATCTGATCAACAGATTAGAAGAATCTGAAGAAACCTCTGAGCTCCAAGGACAAGGCTGAAAGATAATACTGGTCATAATCTTCAGGCCCTCGGGGGCCACTTCATTAAAACCAGGTCTGGTTCTGTTCTGGGCTCAGGAACGCGTCCACAGATCGTTGTCTGCAAACACAGTTCATCCACAGATGCTGCTTAAAGCTCTATCAGAAAAAGAAGAAGCCAGATGAGAACACCATCCAGAACCGTCTCCAAAACCTCCATCAACTGGTCTCCTCAGATCTTATAAAACCTCCAACAACTGGTCTCCTCAGATCTTATGAAACCTCCAACAGCTGATCTGCTCAGGTCCTGGACGTTCACACCCAGTTGTTAGAAGAAGAGGAGATGTTTCTCAGAGGGAACATGGAGCTGGAACAACTTTAAAGAGATGTTTTGCATTTTTTTTTTTTTTCATATGTTACAATTTCTCAGTTTTAACCTTTGATTTGTTCTTCGTGCTCCACTGTGTATCAAACATGGGTTTATGGTATTTATCAATCATTGCTTCCTGTTTTCATTTTACATCTCAACGTTGTTTAAAACTGGTCTCTGATCTTCTGGATGACATCAGCAGCTCCTCCAGCTGAGCTCCTCAGAGATTTTGTCTCCTCCGTCACCCCGACGTTCTAACTCTCTCCTTTGGGCTCCACTTATTTAAGTGAAAGGAACCTCCTCTTCATCAGTCAGAGATGCGTGTCCTGCTCCTCTTCGTCGTCCTCAGTCGCTGCCTGGTTGACAAAAGCCTGAAAACAAAGACGAGAGTTCGTGCTGTTGCCGGATAAACGGCTGCTCAGATAAACCACTCATCCTCCGTCTGCTTGTCTTTAAATAAACCGTCCAATCACCTGCCAGCGGCTGTTGTCCTCCTCGTCTCCTCCTCCTCCTCCAGCTGCGAGCCCGTTGGTGCTTGGCTTCTTCTCCTGCATCTCCGGCTGGCTGTCGTTGGTCACATCCAGGGTGGGGTTGTCATGGTAACCGTTCTCCACAGACCGAAGCTCCTCGGCGGGAAACTGGTGTAAGACAGATTTGAAGCAGATCTTGAAACTGGTTTAACAGATTTACCTTCGAGAAGAAGACGTGAACAGGAGCTCAAAGACAAATCAAAGATCTAAACGTGACGCGGAGCTGCTCAGGAAGACGAAGGACGTGAGTCTGAGCCGAGGAGACGCGTAGAGCGGCGGCGCGTCCGTGGACCTACCATGGTCTTCAGGGCGGGCAGACGTCTCTGCCAGCAGATGTAAATGAATCCAGATGTGATGATGATCATGCATACGGCGCCGATGATGACCAGAACCACAAACAGTTTACCATAGTCGCTGCGGGTTTTACTGGGCCGAGACTGGCAGCTGGTCGCTGCGCTGTAGTTCTGGATGCCCACCTGAAGACACAAACACAGACATTACTTACCTGCAGTTTACCTCACCAGCTGCAGTTCAGCGCTAGAAAGGTCTGAACAATAAATTGTCCACAAATGTCTCAACAAAAGTCCATCTTAATCTAACCATGAGTAAGTTTATTTAACCATGATTGGTGCTGGTCCAGTCCTCCAGGACATGTCAATCAGTACAGTTTTTAGGACAACTGGACTTCTTTTTGTGTTTAATCAAGACGTTTTGTTTCTCATCTCTCAGTTGGTGAAGATTCCCTGTACATTTCAAACCCATCAGGACTCTAAGACAGAGGCTGGTCCACCCTAAGGACAAAACACCCAAACACAGAGTGGTGTGGTGTTTGTAGTCCACTGAGGCGAGGAATGTCCAGAACTCTATATTGGAGAAACCAAACAGCTTCTTCACACACGCATGGCTCAACAGAGGAGAGCCAGCTCCTCAGGACAAGACTCAGAGGTTCACCTACATCTCAAGGGACACTTTTTTAAGGACCAAAATCAGTGGCGGCTGGCCAATAGAGGGCGCTAGGGCTCCGTCCCACCACTCACCAAATTACCTTGAATATGACATAAATAAATAAATAAAAATGAAATAATAAAATAAAATATTTCAAAATATATGTATACATATTCATTCAACCTTTATTTAGACAGGTAAATCCCACTGAGCCTCTCTCTCTCTCTCTATATATATATATATATATAGATATATTTTTTTAGCTGAGTAAGATAAACATTTTATAGTTAATGATGAGTAAAGCTGTTTCCTTCATCAACATTGTCTGGTGACGTATTTTCATCCTGGGTTGCAAAAATCTTTGCCCATAGACTCGTTAAAAGTTGTACATGCGCAGTTAGATCCTCTTTAATACAAGATATAGGCCCATTCTGGGCGCGCCTCTCCTGCGCCCAGAGCTGAATGCACAGTACAGATCATGCTTCTGAAACAGATCGTATCACTCACAACTAGGCTATGTGTGAAAGAGGCTAGCTGCTGCAGGCAGGCTTCAAGCCACTAAAAGCTCTTTATCTAAGGCCCATGTTGCCATTTCTGACTTATATTTTTTCTTCACTGGCCCTGGAACGAGGCACACACATTCGCTTCCCTCTCCCTGTTCTCCTCCTGCTTCTGTGTATCGGAGCTCCTATTTTTACACATCTTCCAAAATGAAAACTATTGTTTTGGATCTGACCAACTGGACTTTTGACGCAAATGACAACATTTTTTCAACAAGCGACAGAGATGTCTGAGAAGATAAGGAGAACCCTTATCTTCTCAGACAACACATGCAGCTGGATATATCTCTGGGGAAGTGGAATGTGATGTGTCTACCTCTACTGTCAATTGAAGATGCTGAAATTGCATATAAATGGATTTATGATAACAGGTTTCTTGTTTTTGGAATAGTTTATCAACATACAAAGAAGACGGCTGCAGCTAATTCGGCCCTCGTCAGGCTGCTGCCTATGTGAATGTTTGGTTTGTGCTTTGAGGACTCAAAATCAGCTGATTTACGAGCTAAACCGTAAGATGGAAGTGATTTGAATCGCAGGCCACCTGCGGTTTTGGGACTCGTCAGCATGAAAACGACCTTGGAGAGGCTCGTAAGCACGGACCAGTAGAATGCACCCTAATCTGGACATTTCAGACCTTGGAAGTACAAGTACAGACTCAAGGTTGACAAGAAAAAAATAGTCTGCCTGAATAAATCAACAATTGTGGATTAACTGAATCTGACTCCCCAGTTGGCCTCAAAACAGGCCGACTGATCAATTTCTCCTGGGAAATGTGTAACCTACGGAAAAGCTTTGTCTATCGCAAAGGTTCTGTCACACTAGGCTGTGATGGTTGAGAACTACTAGAACAACTCAAACACTTGGTGTAACAGGACAGCGAGGAAGCTGAGAACATTCCAAACATTTGGAAACTCCCTCCTGAATGCTGTCTCCACAAGTCTGGGCCAAGTGGGACACAGGTTCAGGTCTTTGCTGACCCGGTCCACATGGGACATGTTTGGGTGCAAACCGGAGTGAAACAATCAGAGCTGCGTTACGTTTGATGGGAAAGTGAAACTTCAAACCTCCTCCACCGCTCAACTCCTGCTCAAACCATCTTGTTGTCTCTGTCCAAAATATGGACATTTATTTCTTAATGGGTGTCAGGGAGGACACGTCCCACACACTGCTGGAGTATCTGAGACTTTCACCTTATCGAGGCTTTTCCTGATCTCTCCCAGCATGTCCAGCACATCTGGAGTCTCGATCACACCTGGAAACCAACAAACGGTCCCTGAAGGTCACACGCCAAACAAAAACTGTGTGTTTCAGAGCGCGTGTCTCCGTGTGTGTGTGCTTACCGTGTCCGGACGCCACGTTCATCAGCAGCTGGTGCTGCTGGTGCGTCGGCTTGCTGAGGTAAATTACCCACGATCCTTCGGGGCTGTTCATTCTCCGAGCAAACACCCGCTCGATGATCTTCAGCAGCTGGACACCCTGAAGGACACGAAACTCCTCCTGTCGCACAAACACACACTTTGTGTCATTGCATTATTTTAAACAACAGATTCACGGATGAAACGGGGATTCAACCTCGATGCCGTGAACCGTTATTTACATTTGGTTCAGGTTGTTTCCATGGTGACAGATGCAACAGCAAGAACCAAGACGACGGGTCTAAAGGTTCAATCAGATGTGCCTGTCGGGGTTTGAACGACCGACTGCTCGAACATTTCACTGGATAATCAACGCTCTGCTGGTTCACTGACGTCTAGTTACAGATTTTATTCCTGATTCAGGTGAAACAACCTGTGTGCTGCGGTCTTCACGGACAGCTCTCGGTCTTGGAGAGATGGGGTTCTAGTTGGGAACCTCGGGTTCTCGTCGCTGCTGTTTGCAGATGATGTGGTTCTGTTGGTGTCTTCAAGCCATGAGCTTCAGCGGTCACTGGGCTAGGTCAAAGCTGAGATAAGAGCCAGCTTCCCTAAGTCGTAGGTCAACCGGTCATAATGAGTGTGTCGCTCCGGTCTTGCTAAAGAAGAAGCTGATGCTCTGAATGTTCTGGTTGGTCTATAATCCAACCCTCAGCTTGTGTTTGAGTATCCATCCATCCATCCATTTTCTTTACCCGCTTATTCCATTTTGGGTCACGGGGGTCGCTGGTGCCCATGTCCAGCAATCACTGTGCGAGGGGCGGGGTACACCCTGGACGGGTCGCAAGTCCATCACAGGGACACATAGAGACAAACGAGACAAACAACCATTCACTCTCTCACTCACACCTAGGGACAATTTAGAGTTACCAATCAGCCTAACATGCATGTTTTTGGTCTGTGGGAGGAAACTGGAGTACCTGGAGAAAACCCACGCATGCACGGAGAGAACATGCAAACTCCACCCAGAAAGCCCCTGGACCGGGGTTTGAACCAGGGACCTGTTCGCTGAGAGGCAGCAGCTCTATCAGTTGCTGTGTTTGAGTATCTGGACGTCTTGTTCCTGAGTGATGGTAGGATGAAACAGGAGATGGATCGACGGGTCTGGGACTCATCCTCAGTAAAGAGGGTGTTGCTTTGGTTGGTCTTGGTGAAGAAATGGTTAAGTTGAAAGGCAAAGCTCTGGATTTACTGGTCCACCTACATTCCAACCCTCACCTGTGATCATGAGGTTTGGGTCAGGACTGAAAGAACCAGATTCCGGATACAATTGGCTGATATTGGTTTCCTCTGGAGGGTGGCCGGGCTCAGCCTTAGAGGAGCTCCGTGACTCAGGGTGAGCTCGGAGTAGAGCCGGTGCTCCTCTGCATAGAAAAGAGTCAGACGAGGTGGTTTCACTGAGACAAGAGTCCAGGCCAGACCCAAATCTCACTGGATCAATTAGACCTCCTCTTTGAACCCCTTGAAACCCCCAGAAGCTGGAGAGAGTCACTGCAAAATGGATGGATGGATGGATGGATGGATGGATGGATGGACAGATGATGGATGGATGGATGGATGGACAGATGGATGGACGGATAGATGGATGGATAATGGATGGATGATGGATGGATGATGGACGATGGATGGATGGATGGATGGATGATGGATGGATGGATGGATGGATGATGGATGGATGGACTTACACAGTTCATGTTCTTGGTCATGTTGAGGACAACGTAGCCCCGCCCAGCCAGTTCGCTCCAGTTTAAACACACCACCTGTAAAAACATCAGATCTCTGGATTAATGTCAGATTTTATAATCCGTCTAACCCATTTGGTCTTCAGTTCTCCGGGTCTTCAGGTCTTCAGTTCTCCAGGTCTTCAGGTCTTCAGTTCTCCAGGTTTTCAGGTCTTCAGTTCTCAAGGTCTTCAGGTCTTCAGTTCTCAAGGTCTTCAGGTTTTCAAGGTCTTCAGGTCTTCAGTTCTCCAGGTCTTCAGGTCTTCAGTTCTCAAGGTCTTCAGGTCTTCAGTTCTCAAGTTCTTCAGGTCTTCAGTTCTCCAGGTCTTCGGGTTTTCAAGGTCTTCAGGTCTTCAGTTCTCAAGGTCTTCAGGTTTTCAAGGTCTTCAGGTCTTCAGTTCTCAAGGTCTTCAGGTTTTCAAGGTCTTCAGGTCTTCAGTTCTCCAGGTCTTCAGGTCTTCCTGCGTTCAGGGACGTGAATATGTAACCCTACCTGCCTCGGCCCCTCCAGGCTGGCCTCCAGCTCCGTCTCGGTGAGTCCGACGGTTGGAGAAGGATCCGTGGTGAGCGGGACCATCTGTTTGATCCTCGTCTCCTCTCTTACGTCTTTCCCTCCAAATCCTAAATTAGTTTTTAAAAGTTTATAAAACGTGATTTAAATCAGGAAGCAGCAAAGAGGAACTCATCCGGTCCAGTTTCACCTCTCTGGTTCTGCTGGCCTCGGTCCCACCGGTCTTCCTCCAAACCGGGCTGCAGAGGCTCCCTGCTGGGAGCCGAGCCGACCTCTGGCACTGTGGGATTCTGGGTAATGGCGCCCGATTCTTCCTTCTCGGTCTCACCTGCAGGGACAAGATGCACGACACCAGCAGCTGATTCTTCTTTCTTTGGACTTTATCTTTATTTGACTTTATTTTTACTTTATTTTACTTTATTTGACCTTATTTGACCTTCAGGTTTTAAACTCACCACGTTTAAATAAGAGAGCAGAAATAGTAAGAAACTTTTTTAATCAGCTTTAAATACAAAATGATGCTTATTTAATGTCAGCGTGCCTGATAAACAATTAAAAACAGAAAATGTTAAAACTGATTCATTTAAATAAAACAAATTATTTATTATTATTTTTCTGTTAAACTGAGAACAAAAGTGAATAAATGAACAACTTTGTGGACAAACGTGTCCTGAACTCTGTTTTTTTATCGAGCACACCTTTCGTTCCCAGCACCCCAAAGTCCGTCCCCGTGTCGGTCTCTGGGGTGGCGGTTCCAGCATCTCTGGAAACATCTGGAGCAGCTGTGCTGGGAGCAGCGGCAGGAGACGGAGACGCTGCTCGAGCTGCGGAGACAGAGGAGCGCAGGAGTCCATAACCGCCAGACGACTGAACGTCTCCGTCCCTCTCCACCTCCCACAGCTCCCTGCCGGAAGGATCCACCTGCAGGACAGGAGGACAGGAGTACCAGAGGACAGGAGGACCAGAGGACAGGAGTACCAGAGGACAGGAG